CACACACACTCACAACACTGCTGTGAGCAACTTGAAGGTAGAAACTGAGTCTTCTAGTCCCCAGGGCCTGGCACAGGTCTGGCCCAGCTAAGGGGAAATAGTAATGATCTCACAGAGAGAACACTCTCTCATTCATTACAGGAGGGCAACAGTCATATATATATCCTCCTTAGCTGTCTTGTTTGGCCAGAACACCCACCCCTCCCCCCCACATGCTTGCTGACTATTCTTTTCTTCAGGCTGTCTCCAAACATTCCTGCTAAATATCCATCTTTACCATCTCTGTAGCTTTTTGGGGCCCTCATAAGATGAGAGACCACCCTCTGATGTATCAGGACTAGGCAGCCTAGGGTCTGCAAATCCCAGACGCTAATCTTGTTCCAGAAAGACTAGAAAGGTGCCTTTCAGCCCTGCTCCCTGTGATGAGACAGATGTCAGGAGCCAAGGGTTTGTGTTGGGAAAAGGAAGAGATTTTGGAAGTATATACCATAATTCTGGAGTTTGTAAAATCTTTCTAAAACCTCTATCAGTAAAAGTCCCTATGATTTTGTTTGCCAGACTTTGCCTGTACCCCTTACATTCTTATTTCAGGATGTCAAAAGAGCCAAATCCATTTATAACCATAGCCAATTCCATAAATACATGTTGAATGATCTATGAATGGTAAGAGGGATTAGTTATTATCCCCATTTCACAGATAAGAAAACTGAGTCTTGAGGAGGTTTTGTATCTTCCTCCAATGTTCTTCAGGGTCTTAACTGAAGTTTTATGACTCTGAGCATGGAGTTAAGGCCTCTGGAAATCCATTCTAAGCTAAGGTGTTGCCTGCCATCACCCCCCTCACCAACTTTTCTCACCTGTTTCTCCCTTGACCCCAGAGCTGCAAACCCACTTTATTATGAAAACACAAACATGCCGGAGAAGAGAGCATTTCCTGGTGACCTAATATCTGTCAATGGAGCCAGCTAAGCAATGGCGCCATCATTCCCCAGGTCTCACTGGCACGCTAGGCAGGAGTTGCGACTAACAAGAACCCTGAGGAATTTGAATTTCATTCTGAGGCCACAGAACTGCCATGGCATTGGGAGGCGGCAGTTGTGGCAGGGGCTGAAGGGAGCCTTGGTTAAAAAAACAACAACAACAATGGCCCTTATTAAAGGCTATCTTTGGGGATGCCAGGCCTCTGGTTTCTCTGGAAACTGCCCAAGCACAGCCCTGGGTCTCTGCTGATGGACACCCATCCTGGAGTGAGCATGGCCTTGGCCTCTTCTCCCCATGTAGGGAGGGGAACTGGGTGAGCAGGGTCTCCAGCCCTCTGCATGCTGGCCCTGCCTTTCTCATCCAACCCGGACACCCTCCCTTCCCGGTTTACACACTCCCAACCCCACCCACACCCTCCCGTGGCATAAGAAATTGCCAGCATTTGACTTTTTGACCTACAGAAATGGCAGTTTTAAGTGGTTCAACCTTATATATGCCAGTGGGTCCCAGCTCTCTTTGTTCAAGCTCAGCATTTCAGCAGAACCCGATCTGTTCCTGCTGCCTGTCCGCCTGTTCATCCATCACTTACTGAGGGGTTGTGAGGACACTGGAGTAAATTGACATTCACATCCAAGCCTGCCTGCACACTTCCAAGAATCAGTCCCCCTGCAGTGTGCACAAAGATCTTCCCGCATCTTCTACCCATCCAGGAGTGTTCAGGAATAAAGAGGCTTTTGGCAATGTGGGGCTTTTAAAGGAAGAGGAAGATGTGTGCTTTGGGCCTCAGCCAAACACCACTCTCAAGACAAGCAAGCAGCACACACAGGCAGGACAGTCCCTACCTGATTCAGGTGGCTCCAGCTTTGTTTAAGGTCAAATGTTTCTTTTTTCATCCACATACAGAGGGCAAATCACAACTTGACTTCCAAAAGAGAAGGTGAGAAATAGAGTCTTCATTTTATCATCTCATTGTGGTGTCTTCCCAAACTCAAACAAGGGGCGTCTCACTAGCACAGGGGCTGTGTCCCTAAAAAGGTGCACACACACTAGACCGGTGTACACAGAGTCACTCCTGCCGGGGTCCCTCTAGGAGATGTAGGTATGAACCTGAGTCATTCCTTCATTCATCTGCTCTGTCAACCTGGACCCAGAAACAGCTGGTGGTAGACGACCCTGACCTGCAACTGACTCGAGGGGTATCCTGGTCTTCCCTGAGCCACAGGTGTTCACAGATGGGGCTCTGTGTCCACTTGCAGGGTCCAGTGGGGCTCAGGGCTTACATTCAGAAAGCCCCAGCACAGAGCCCGCCACCACAGAGACACTCAGAACACAAGAATGAATGCTTATCTTAGGTTTGATTTTTGTTTTGTTTTAAGGCATCTTGTACCAGTGAGATATTTATTGAAGAAGAATTTTCCTATTTCTTATATTTTCTATTAGCTGTAATCTTACCACTTAGAAATAATTATCATTCAATCAGTTGCCAAGTACTATTGATTTTACTTCCTATTCATTAGCCTGTGGTAGACAGAATAATAATCCCCAGAACCTATGACTGTGTCCCCTTACCTGGCAAAGGGGACTCTGCAGATGTGATTAAACTAAGGATCTTGAAGTAGGGAGTTATTCAGGTGGGACCGATGTGGTCACAAGGGTTCTTGTACAAGGGAGGCGGGAAGGTCAGCGAGAGATTGAAAGATGCCACACTGCTGGCTTTCAAGATAGAGGAAGAGGCCTCAAGGCAAGAACAGAGGCAGCCTCCAGTGACTGAAGAAGCCGAGGAAGGGGATCTCCCTGTAAAGCCTACAAGAAGAGCTACGCTGTCACCACTTGGACTTCAGCCCCATAAGGCCATGTTGGATTTCTGACCTCTAGAACTATAAGATGATACAGTCGTGAGGTCTTAAACCACTAAGTGTGTGGTAACTTGTTACAGGAAACCACAACCAAGTTCACCCACCATCTATGCCCAGGCGCACTCTCTGGGCCTGGCACAGTGGCCCCCAGAGGCTCCCAGCACTGACCCCTCCAGGCCACGCCCATAGCGGTCAGAGGTCACCCCCACCAAGAGCCCTCTGGCAGAGGCTCTCCACTCACAGGGCACAGCCTCCCCACCCTGTCCCTTCACATGCGCCAAGGGCCTCCAGACCATCACCCGTGCTGTCCCCTGGACTCCACACACCCTCCTCCTGGGCACTTCCTGCTGCTCTTCAAGCAGCCTCCTCAGGCATGCTTCCCAGGAAGGCCCTGGTGGCATTTGTAACCAAAGTCTTTATCACACATGTAGCATTCTTAACCCTTCTTCCAACTGAGTTCCACTGGGCCTGGGAGTGTTTCTACTCTGCGCATTTCTGTCTCCATTGCCTAGAATGGTGCTTGGCCCACATAGGTGCTCAAGAAATATTCATGGAACAAACAGATGAACGAACATGTCCTTCCAGTTGTTTCATACATGTTGGGTTATGTGCGACCTCCTCTTTCTCCCCGTGTTCTAATCATACATCTGTGCGGGTCAGCAAGCGCAGGCCTGTTACTGTCCTTAGTGGCTGCATGCTGTCCTGCCATGTAGGTGCTTCAGCCATTGTCACTGGTCCCTCTTGTTGGGCTCTTTGGTGTTTCCTATTTCTGGCTTCTTTATGCAATGCTGTCATGAACACCCTTCTAACTAGATGTTGCCTTTTGTCCTAATCATGCTCCTAGGTAAGTCCATAGGAAGTCCCTCTCCTAGGTTTTGTTACATATCTTCTATGACTTTAAATGTCCCCCAAAGCATTTTATCTTCTTTGACTTTGAAATATACCTTTGCTGAAAGATTAAGGAAAATGGGCAGGGAGTGGGGTATGACTAGTACATTCTTTCACAGCCTTGTTAAAGTGGTCCCATGAGCTAGCTCAGATACACAGCCATGCTTGGCTGGACCCTCAGAGTGCTTTGAAAAGATGAACATGTTTATAACATGGATTTCCCATTTCTCCAAGTTGCACTGACCAGTCAGAATGGGCACAACTGTTGCTGTGACCCTTCTGTGGTTCCCACACCTGGTCATTTGCATTTGAATCCCTGACCTAACCTGATTCTCTCCCTGCTCTGTCTTACAGTGACATCACCCCTCCTGGAGAACCTCTGAACAAGAACAGCCGACCCAAAGTGGCTTCCCGCTTTCCCAAACTGTCTCGAGGTCACCCCAGAGAGACACGCAACATGGAACCCCAGAGTGGCGACCTCTGACCTCAGCAGAACCCCAGATGCAGGCCTTCATGTTGTGCCAGCTGCCTCCACCTTGGCAGGGGGACCTTCACACCTTGGGGTGACAACCACGTCCCCTCAATGAACCCAAGAGAACACCTTCCCCACTGGTCACACACTACCCTGATTAAACTGGTCAGTCTCAGAGCCGTACAGTCCCTGTCCTTAGAGCAAGATGACTCCTCACTGGATAGACTGGACATACGGTACCTGTTCTTCCAGGGTCTGCTCTGGACAGCAAGGGCCATTTGTCCCCTTGCTCCAGGGCCAGCAGCAGGGTGGGTGCCAGGTCGGGCTGGGCACCCCCTGGTTGAGATGCACAGTTCTGGTATCTCTCATCAGAAGGTTCCTTCAGAACTAGCCTCCTGACTTCCTGCATAGGAATTAGAATGACTGTTATCCTGTTGTTGCTTTTTAATGTAATTGCCTGTTACAACGTATGGATAGATTTGGGGGTCTTGTTCTTTTTCATGGCACTTTCCACCAATGGAGACCCAGTGGCATCACTGCTGTGGCTCTTGTAGGCATCACTCCTCCAAAGAGACACTCCTTGTAGCCTTGTGAAGGAGTCATGAGCAATGTTTAATTTGGGGTCCTCCTCCCACCTCCCCCCAAGTGGCTTCAGGAAGGATCAGTCCTGTAGGAAACCTGAGGTTGCCCAGGCCCACATGTACCTTGTCAGGCTTAGGGGGACTCAGACGTGTGGCCCAGCCATCAATAACCATCCTGTACCCCTGTGTGATGCAGCCTGTTCAAAAATCAGCAGCCTGGACCTCACAGTCGTGAGACACTCGTGTGAACTTGGACACGGTATGTGCTCTGAACAGATCATGATCGTTCCCACTAAAGACACATGTTCGTGTTCCCCCATTTGTACCCCAGTGTGCTCTCCTTGGGAGAACCCTGGGTACCCTCAGAGAGGGAGTTCCCTGCTCCTCCCATCTCAGAGTGGGGTTTCTGAGCCAGGGATCCCTGGCAGGCAAGGAGTAGGCTGAGGACCCACAGATGGCATCCCCAGAGCTCCTCCTCTGATAAACCCACATCTGAGCTTCACAGGACCAAAGCCGTGAGCCAGTTCCACCCTCCAGGGTCATGTACCCGTCTCCCACCCCAGTAAAGAGCTGTCCCTCAGATGCTCGTACTATTATGAAGAGTCTGCATTCTCTGGGGATGTATTAAGAAGTCAGGAAGGAGGTTGTGAAATAGACCTTGCGAGAATGTGTGTGTGTGTTTCATCTTGACCCAAGGCAGATGGAGATGTATGGAAGGTGAACTGTGGACCCATCCCAGAACTGCTTCAACTTAACTGACTTAAAACAGTGGTCAGGATCAATGAGCACAAAACTGTTCCTAGCTTCAGGAAAACTCTAGAGAGAGGCACCCAGAAGGTTTATGCTGTGTGTTCCCCTTGTAGCCAGAAGGAAACTTACTCAGGACAGCTAAGGAGCCCCAAGATCATTTACACACAGTCCTGCAGAGAAACGGAGAGGCCATAATAGCCTCTGAGGGGATCTCATGCCAGGTGAGCCATGCTCAGGTAAGGCAGAAAGAGCCTGAGCGTGTGCGTGTGTGTCCAGAGAGAATGTGCTGAGTGTCTGGAGGTCTCAGAAAGGCAACAGGATCGCTAGCCTCCTCATCTGCCAAGATATCCGTAGTACAGATGCTTCATCTGAACTCTAGTACCCAGAGTATGGATGGGGGCCACTGTGGCCGGCAACTTTGCATGCAGAGCCCTCCCGGAGTAAGTAATCAGGCTGTCTAGAAGCTCAAACTGCCCCACATCATGCCTCCCTGGGCTGGCTTACTCCACATCTGTCATTTCGAAGTAGGCCTCTGATGCCAGCTCAGAGGCTGTCTTCGCAGCACCTCCCTGTTCTGTTTGTGTTAGGATATGGATTGGAGCCCCTGTCTTCAACACTCCCACGTGCTCAGGCCTCTGACCAGTGGGCCTTTTCTGCTTCTTGACCCAAAACACATCAGAGTGAATCACTCCCCCGCCACCATGAACCTTCCTTGACATTCTGCACATCGAATTTAAAAAGAAAAAAAAAAAGCAACTAGAGCCACAGCAAATAGATGCTAAGCCAGGAGAAACAAGCATGCACTCAACCACTCAACTGGTATTTACAAAGAGGAAGAAACTCTGCCTCCCTGTTTTTAAAAGCTTAATTTTTCATACAAATCTTGCCCTGCTCTCTCAAAATGTGAATTGTAGAAGCATGTTCTGGGGGCCACCCTAGCTGCTTGCAGTTTGTACCCCCTTTTTGTGGTCTGGAGGCACCTTCAAGATACAGATCCTTCCTTCTCATTTTGGCCCAGATATGCATGTGATAGGCTCATGACAGCAACTCCCCAAAGCCTTAACTTTGGAATCACATGAAATGTTCTGCAGTGATTTAGTTTATCCAGCTGCTCAAAATACTCCTGCTCTCTGGTGGGTGGGATGGACTTCAGGCAAAAGAAATAAACGACAGACTACCTGGCTCCTGGAGAAGGAAAGCAGAGACACCTAGATCTAACAAGGTTGAGGCTGGTACCTGGTACCCAAAATGCCACGTTAGCATCTGTACCTCAGCCTGGATCCAATTCCGAGGACTGGTTGTCCTCCCTCAAACCATCCACATAGCTCATGACCCATCATCAGTGGAAAGATACCCTGCAGAAAGGACCTGTCCCACCTCACTCCTGTCTCCTTGGTCCAAGAAGATTCTTTGAGGCCTCCAAAGTTGGCATCTGAAAAAGGAAGCCCTTCTCATTCAGAAAAAAACCAGAGGTGCCTGCCTCTTTAGAGAGCCTCAGCCATGTGGGACTACTTCTGCTGGGAGGAAGAATCCACCCAGGGCCCTTGTAACAAAGGCAGGCTCTCTCTTCACGGTCTGCTGTAGCCAGAACGGAACACCACCAGGTCCAGTCTCCACCATCAGCTCATTTCTTTCTTTCTTCTTCTCCCCTAGATGAAATAAGACTCAAGAAAGACAGGGCTGGGTGAGGTGTCTCTTCTTAGGAGCGAGAACTAAAGTTTCCAGAAAGGGAGGTGAAAGGCTGGTGTGAACCTCGCCCAGAGTGACTCCTGACCTGGGAGAGAAACTTCTCAGTGGTCTTCTGGAATCAGTCTGGGATTCCAACCTGGCACAGCACATATTGCTCACATTACTAGCAAGCTATCAAGAAAGCAGAGCTGGGCTTCAGAGCCCCCTCAGTCTCCATGGGCCGACCCTGGGGAGGGGGAGCTCTCATGGCAGAGGCCTCTGCAGGCCATGGTGGGAGCCTGCATTATGGTGGGAGTCTGCATAACATCCATCATCAGGCCCATCCGGGGGCTTCCTGGCTACTAAAGGGATCAGCAGATGGAGTTGTCAAAGAGGCAGCCACCTTGCAAGATCTAGAAAGAGGCACACACCTTCAAGGGAGGGATGTGGTCGAGGTCTGATCATAGCTCTTGGACTGCTTCATGTCTTGGAACTTACCAAGATGAGTTCCTTGATAACCACTGAATTGTCAGAACAATGGCAGGCTGTGTATTGAGCTTTAAAACCAGAGTCCATTGAAAGCTATTTACACTGGGAAGATTGATGACCTGGCTGCAGCCAGCACCCACACGGCAGGCACTGGAAGCCCAGTGATCCTTCCCCAGTGAGCTGGAAATGGGAGTAAAGCCCCCCAGCCTGCCAATCATTGGGATGTGGCCCCACCTTCTACGGAAGTCATGTTTCCTGACACCCCAAGCCAGGGCTCAGCAAGCGGTGACCGCCTTTCTCTTGGTTTTGCACAGGACAACTTGTCCACCTTGAGGACCAGGTCACATAATTCCTGGCCTTGTCCTCCATGCCCTACCTGCTCAAGCCCACATGGGATGCAGTTCCATCTGTGCAGCCCGGAGGCCTGCACTGCCCCTCACGGGTAGGCTGGCCCTGTTCTCTGGTGTCCCAGCAAGCATCCTCCCTCTGGGCACCCCCAGAATCCTCCCTGTTCCTCAGCTGGGCTCCTCAGTATTAGTCTCACCCCCCAACAGTTGCGGCTGTCCACTCCAGAAGCTTCTTCTAACCATGGCACATAACTGACAGCAAAGGGCTGAATTTGCAGCCCCCAGGACTTGCCTGAGAAGGGCCCTGCCAAGGCCCCTCTGCCCAGTGCATCAGACTAGGCGTCATCCGAGAAGGTATGACCTCGTGCCCACATTTCAACCCCAAAGACAATAACTGTCTTGACTTTTCCTTGAAGTTTCACCTGGAACCGCGCCATCATGCCGGACCTTTTCCCAGCCTGGAAGCTGTGACTCAGCAGACAGGCGTTTCTAGAAGGCGGGCACGTGCCTGTGAGCAAGGACTATTGTAACAAACATTTTTCAAAATGTGTATTATTTCATTAATGTTAATGTTAAATATTTGCAGTTCAGACTGGCTTCTGTGCTAATTTTGCACAACTGTAGCACTGTATATTTTATCTAACATTTCTGTGCCAAAAAGCTCATTTTCATGTTTCTGTAATACATGGCCTTGATTATGTTTCTAAAATAAAGCTTCAGCTGCTGGATCGATAGGAGGGCGGAGCAGCCGGGGTCTCTGGCTCTGAGCAAGCCAGATCTCACCGGTCTCCCTGCAGCTGTCAAAGCACAGCTGACCAGCTTGTCTCTGGTGTTTCTCACTTTGGCCACGAGCCATTGCCTTGGGATAAGACTGATTGTGGTAGCTCTAAAGTGTCATGGAGTCCTGACTTCTGTCCCTAAATTCTAACCACCAAGTTGAATGGACTTCCTGATACCCAGTTTCTGTAGAGAAGTCAAAAAACAAGAAATGGGGAAGGAGGGAAGGAAAATAAATCTGGTTTCTTTAAAAGGTAGTCGAAGCCAGGCTCGGTGACTCAGCCTGTAATCCCAGCTCTTTGGGAGACTGAGGTGAGTGGATTGCCTGAGCCCGCAGGTTTGAGACCCACCTGGGCAACTTAGTGAGACCTCATCTCTACAATAAATCAAAACAAAAAAATTAGCTGGGCATGGTAGTGCGCGCCTGTAGTTCCAGCTAATTGAAAGGCTGAGGCAGAAGCATCACCGGAGCACAGCTTCGGAGGCTGCGGTGGCCGG